TCTTTGATCTAATAGGACCTGCCTGACACAGTCTAAGCCTGCCCAAGCCTAGGGCCCAACACCACTTCCCCATCTTATTTCTCCTTTGTCCCCTGCACCTCTAGCTTTTGTTTACAATGTGATCTGTCTCCAGAGGTGGGATTCTAGAGCTCAGTGACAGGTTCCTATGAAGAAACTCAGCAGCCAGGCCTGGACTCTGGAGAAGACTTGAAATTTAGGATCAAATATAAAGAGGTCTATCCCCTGAATGTGTAACAGATGCATTCTGGCATTCTTTATGAAGAAGTTCTGGAAGTGTTTTTGTGTCTTTTCATGAGGTGAATGCTGCTGCCAGATGCCATCCAATGGAAAGGCAGGCTCATAAAAACATTAGTTTGTGTCTTCATTCACCTTATTCAGCAGATCTGGCACCAGGTGACTTTTGATTCTTCCCCAAAGTCACGACCATGAAAAGTAAATGCTTTGAATCAATTCAGGACATCAAGGCAGCCAGGAGGGTGCAACTAAAAGAAAACACCCATGAAAAAGGACTTACAGAACTGCTTCAGAAAGTGGCAAGACAGATGGGATACATGTGTTCAAAGGAAGGAAGAGAGTTTTGAGGAAGATCAATAGTAATGTATCTCTTACTAAAACAAATATTTAAAAAATTTAAACATTCACTGTGTTTTTATTCACATTCTGTACTTTTCAAATTTGTCACATGTATATATTCTAGTGTATTGTCTCATTTACTTTTGCTTGACTGATCAGCAAAGTTGAAACTCAAGGAGTAGGTTGGATTTCAACTATCATTCTGTACTTTGATCAGAACACTTGTGCACAAAATTTTTAAAATTCTTATTTTTATTAAAATGTATCAATTGTACTTATTAAGAGCTCAGTGTGGTATTTCCATATATACATATAGCATACAGTGACTAAATCCAAGCAAATTATCTTTTCCCACCTCTCCCCAACCCTCCAATACCTAGTAATTATTATTCTACTTTCTGGTCAACATTTTTTTAGCTTCTATGTATGAACGAATATGCAGTATTTTTCTTTTTGTATGTGATTCATTTATTTTACTTAACAGAATGTCCCCTAGTCCCATCCATTTTGTCACAAATGACAGGATTTCATTCATCTTTTGGGTGAAATACTACTACATTGTGTATATTTACCACATTTGTTATCCATTCATCTGTTGATGGGCATCAAGGTTTATTCTATATCATAATTATTGTAAATAGTGCTGCAATAAATATGGGCCTGCAGGTATCTTTGGTATGCTGATTTCATTTCCTTTGGATATATTCCCAGCAGTGGAATACCTGGATCATATGATAGAACTACTTTTAGTTTTTTAAAGAGTTTGCATAGAATTCTCCATTATGACTGCAAAAATAATTTGCATTCCCAGCAACAATTTATGAACTCCTTTTCTCTACATCCTCACCAGAATTCATTTGGTTTTGATAACACCCATTCCAACTAGGATGAGACAGCACCTCACTAGACTTTTGACTTGCATTTCTCTGATGGCCAAAATTTTTGAGCTTCCTTTCATATATTTGTTGGCCATTTGTATTTCTTTCTCTGAAAAATACTTATTCAGATAATTTGTCCAGTTTAAACTGAATTACTTGTAAAGAAAAAAAAAGTTTTATCAGATTAAGCATTCCAGATTTTGAGGACCTTTTTCTATACAGGTAACAATGAGTACTGTGCTAACTGTGAGACCTAAATAACTCCATTTTAAAATTTGACTCCATCTTAGAATAAGGCAGTAAAGTGGCCTAAACATAAATTCCACTTCACTGAAGTCAACTATTCCCCTAGTCTCCTTTGTGCCCATAAAGTAATGATAAAATGTCCTTGCTCTGGGACAACAGATTAAAAAAAAGGACACAGCTCCTAACTCAATCCTCTGTTTGCCCAGAAAACAGACGCTCCCGGGCCCATTACCTATGTGCTGACCATGAACATTCTGTCAATGAGCTGATTGTTCCTTTTTTATAAAATCTACATGTAGCCGCCCTTCAACCCCCCCCACCCCCCACCCCATACTTGCTAAATATCAACCGATCATGTAACTGCTAAATGGAAAATCCCCAAACCTTGCTGTAGACACAATAAAAACCCTGGTGATTTAAAATTCGGTGCTCTCAATCCTCATCCGCTGTGCCGGTGACGGTTGTGAGTCCCTGCTGGAGCTTGAATAAACGACCGACCCTCGTGTGTTTGCATCGGAATCGGCTCCTTGGTGGTCTTTGGGGACTTCGCGATCTGGGCACAACACTAACAGGAATTTCAGAAAAATTAACAATCATTTTGTTTTTCAAAGAAAGTTGGCTTTTTAAAATGAATGAGCAAGAAAATGTTTTTCAAAAGATATTCATGCTACTCACAGGGCATGCTTGTGTCAACTATTAAAAAAAACCCACTTCTATTTGCATAATTGAAAAATGTAAAACACATTTTTCTAATCTTTTTATAATTTTCTAAATGACTAGTTCCAAAACTAATAAAAAGGTAGGAACAATTCATTAGTTCCCAAATTAAAAGGTATTGTGTTTGGCTTTTTCTTTTATTTTCCTTTTATTTCTTTGAGACAAGGTCTTGCTATGGAGTTCAGGCTGGCCTTGAACTCACTATGTAGTCCAGAGTTGGTCTCAAACTCAACAATGCTCTTGTCTCAGCTACCTGAGTTCCAAGATTACAGGAATGTGCCACGAAACCTGGCCTACGTTTGTTATTTTTAGAAAGTGGGTAAAAACACTGCTAATTTCTTTGTTTTTGAAACCACCTGTTAACAGTTTTTAAATACATGACTTTTTAATTACTTTGTAAGAATGCCTAATTGGCATCAGGAAGTGGAAACATAATCAGCCCTTTTGAACAAGAACTTGGCATAATTGCTAATATAGGTGGGTAGAAATAAATCAACAATTTGCATTTTCCATTCAGAAGTTATATTTGAGCTTGAAAACAAAACCCTAATTATTAAAATAAGATAAAATATCTGGCTTTTAAGTGTGCCTCCAAAAATAATGAAACCAAGCCAGGGATTTAGCTCAGTGGCTCCACCACCTGCCTCACAAGCAGAAGGTCCTGAGTTCAATCCCCGGTACCAAAAAAAAAAAGAAAAGAAACCAAGACTTTTAAAATTATGAGACATACCATAAATCATAATATTAACAATTAAAGTGAAATTTATTTTCTAATGATGTGACAAGAGTTTTTAAACAACTCCTGCCTATTTAATAGAAAACGCTCTTAAATCTATGTGAATAAGGACTCAATCACCTAAAATATTTTTCCATATAAAAGTAAATTAATATGCAAATTAAATTTCAATAAATACTTTCACTTTTATATATTTTAGTATATGTATGTGTGCACATATGCTAAAGTTTAAAAGGATAACATTCTGTAATATAGTTCAACACTTCATTCTGAAATATTCCATATATGCAAATACCTTAGAAACCATTAAGTTAATTTTTCTTTCGTTTTATGCTGACTGGAGCATTCACATGCCCTAAATTTTTAAAAGTTATTACTGTATTATACATGCAAACAGTGCCATCTTCTGTCCATGGAACTCTTTGTGCATCTATATAAAATTCATTACGGTTAGTAACTGCCATTTTGTTAACAAGTTATATTATAGGTTACTAAATAAAAGTTCTTAGCCTAAAAACAGTTCACTAAAAAAGTTTACAAAATTAGGAACACTGCTCAGCATGTTTTCATATAGATATAATTTAAGCGGACACTAATTCACTAACTATAGACTTTCTACTAAATCTTCCACTAACCAGATATTGAATCTTAGACTATGTAAATACTTGGGACCTCAGTTTCCTCATCTATAAGATTAAGTCATTAATGAAGTTGCTTTCAGTCAAAGATTCCATTTGTTTCTACCTTTAGAAAATTTTATGAGTATTTCTTTTTTTTAAATGAAATATAGGCCTGTTTATGATATTTCCTACACAGATATCTCTTTAATTAATATGAGTTTTCTTGGTTATGCACATGGATGTAATTTCTTGACACTTGTCCTAGTCAAAATAGCCTCTCCCTAAACAATACACATAAAGATTTCATGAAATTGTGAAGAATGTTAAAAAGCTCAAGTGATAAAAAGATTTTAAGAAACATTCTGTAAA